TCTCACTATTTTTAAAATTTTGATTTCTTAATTTTGGGTTGGAAAAGTGGGGGTCGTCTTGTACATGGGGGTGTCTTATTGACGGAAAAATAAGGTAACTTTATCAGAATTCCATTTTTGAGTGTAGATAGATTCCCAAAGTCCCCAATGTCCAATTCTGATTGAGTAGGAGTTAGATAAATGAACCAGCCAAAGAGCAACTGGTTTGTTTCTTTAACTTAATGATCAGGCCTTTTTTTTTTTTTGGTGAGAGGAATAACTTTTATTCTATTGACTGGGATTTTTTCTCATGAAAACTGCCTCTCCCATTTTTCACTGCCTTGGGAACTAGTTGAACAAAATCATACACAATGAGCAGACACAGCTGAATTGTAATTGCCCTATTGCTACAGAACATTATGTATAAAATGCATTTTTCATCCAAAAGGGTGGCAGTAAAAGAGACCACAACATAGAAATGTATGACAATTTACATAGCGGACTAGATTTGCTTCTTAAAAAAAGTCTTCAGCAGACTGAAGTGATAACAGCTGGAAACCAAATAATTGATCAAGTATTATATTTGAAACCATAGCCATTAACTCTGTACAGGCAGGGAGTGAAGCAGAAAACAGTTTGCAATGGTTTTAGAAAGTATGGTGGTGAAACAGATCATCTTGAGATTCTGAAAAAAATGCCCTGCTTCAGCTTGTGATGAGATCCCCTTTTCCATAGGAAATGATGCAAACTTAAATGATTTTGGACTGATACCCTCCTCTTAATATCAGCTCTATAACACTTACTTTCATTTAAATTAAACTGAAGATAGGGTGACACAGTCAGGATGGGATAGGAACAACATTTATTCTAAATTTTAAAACATTGTATTAAAATGTTTGAAGGCTTCATAAAATATCTGAGCTCTGCCAACTTTATTGAAAGTTCTACCTCGAGAGAAGAAATTCAACTGAAGCATCATTGTTAACAGTACTTCTTTGACTCACCCGTATGGCAGAGAATTTCAACTGGAAGATGTGCAGCTGTTTCCAGCAACAGTGAAATGACCTGTTATATTTGTAACTAGTGCACAACAGTAAAGAAATCTATGTGCCAGTTGTTTTTGTAACAGTAATTAAAAAAAAAAAGAGGCACTTTTTGGCTGCTTGTGCCTTTGACTCGACCAGGCACTCTCACCATTTCCCCCCAGTTCATGTGCATGGTGTATTTTGTATAAATTAAGGCAAAATCCTTGAACAAAAGCGAAAGGAAAAGCAAATGAAGAAAAAGGTGGAAACATGAAACGGACTCAAAATTGGCATGGAAAAAAAGTGTCAAGAGCAGTTTAAGAGTTCATTTAACTGCATTTCACATGGGAAACAAAAGCATAGTCATATTAAGTTTGTTTCCAGTTATTAAAGAATTATACCTGTTGTATTTCAAGTGCTGCCTAGCTAAGCAAAACAGCTTACAATCCTTTGCCTGTGTTAAAATTTTTTAAAAATTGAAATGTCCCTACTTTATTCAAGGAATCATATAAAGCCAATTCCTACTTTTTCAATTTCAAAGCATAAGCAAATGATTGCAGGTCACATAATTAACACGACAGTTTATTCAATATGTCTCCAAGTAGTAGAAGGATGATTTAAGGAGGCAAACAGCAATAAAATTCTGTCTTAAAGTGCTTTTTTGTTAAACTTACTCATCATTTTCTAAAAGGTTCTACTGATGCCATAATTGTATTCTTGGAATAAACAAAGCTCTTTTATTGCTCTTACCCTTTAAGTACACAGCATCAGGAAAAAAGGTTACCAATTCCAGACTAACTTGTACCAAAACCATTCCATAAGGAATAATCATCCTTACATAAAAGGGTTCTCTTAAAAACAACCCTTAATGTAAAGCACTATACAAATTACCTAGAGACATATTAAATACAAAAGTCCTTGTGTAAATTTATTCTTAACTAATATTTTACAATGACAAGTGTAAATCACATGTTTTTACATAATTTTGAATATTCCTATTCAATATTTTCAAAAAGGTTAAAAATTTGCCATTCATATGTAAAGGCAATCTGATTTTTCTCCTGTATAAAACCCAAAGTCTTTTTCTTTTTTGCAGCATCACAGAAAAGCAAAAGTTTTACATTCACTTATTAAATGTTCACATAAAAATCTCAATTACTTGATAATTGTTCTTAAATTGGTGGAATCTTGACAGGGTTTTGTTTTGTTTTACTCATGCCTAAACTAGCATCTATAAGAACCATGGCGGATGCTGGGAGATTCTCACAGCCTAACGCTTGAACTTCTCAATTGAAGAATACTTTTAACTCATTATGAAGTACCAAGGCTATTGAACCTTCGAAAGCATTCACTTCAGATTCCTCTAAAAGTGAAAGCAAAAGGATTCCAGCCATATCAGGAAGGCGTTGGGTATTCTCCACTTCAGAGGAGCTTTTCTTCTTCAGCTTGCAGCCATCAACTAAGGATCCACATCATCAAGGTCACTTTTAGGTTCACCAATCATCATGGGAGATACTGAGCCCTTTTAAAAATACAAAAGAATTAGAAAGATTATGTTGTTTAAATAGAACAAGTGGCTATTGATGGATGGTGTCCTAACAGTTTTTCAGCAACAGCCCTGTGCATCATTTAGCAACTGCCTTTTGGAAACAAGAAATTAACACTACATTCTTCACAAAAGGAGAAGATGAACTAAATGTTAAATACAGGTAGTCCTTGGTTAATGACTGTCCTGTTTAGCGACCATTCGAACTTACAATGGCACTGAAAAAGTAGGTTTATGACTGGTCCTCACACTTATGATGGTCACAGCGTGCCTATGGTCACATGATCACAATTCAGGCACTTGAAAACAGGCATGCAGTTACAATGGTCGCAGTGGTCTGTGGTTACATGATTGCCACTTGTGACCTTCACAGCCAGCTTCCAACAGGCAAAGTTAATGGGGAAGCCAGTAGGAATTTGCAAGTCACAGTCACATGAGATTGTGCTTAATGACCGTGGATGACTCGCTTAACAACCACAGCGGCACTGACGTTGTAAGTTGGGCATGGTCACATGAAGTTTCACTTAATGATCATGTCACTTAGTCATGGAGTTGCTGATCCCAATTGCCATCATTAAGTGAGGACTACCTGTATTAGACTAGGATGAAATACCATGATTAGGAGTACTAAAAAGGAAGCATGTATGGAATTTGCTATATTAAAAAGTCATGTCCCTCAACATATGAACCTTCAAAAGAAGTTTAAACAAATTCATGGAAGACATAGCTATCAATGGCTCCATGACATGATAGCTTTGTAACATGTCTAGAATCAGAGATGACTGTCTTTTAATACCAGTTGGTGGTGAATATGAGCAGGAGAGTGCAGATGCACTCATGTCTTCCTAGTAGCCACTCTTCCTGGTACAGAATAATAGATTAGACATGGCTTTCCCTCTCTATGTGGCCATATGTTGTTTAATGAACTAACCAAGTTGCTACTGATAGAGCTTATATTTGACTGAGTATTTTAAAGTTTGAAATGTTAATTTTATCAAAGGAAATATTTTCAAAACCTTGACTACATTAAAGATGTTTTTTTTTATCCACACTCAATTGTTACCAATTCTGTGGTGACTGCCTGGACGAGTCCCTGCAGTTTTCAAGGCAAGGTGTTTTGGAAGTGGTTTGCCATTGCCTCCTTCCTAGAGCGGAGCCCAGCTGGCGAGCGCAGGAGGCGGAGTTTCCATTGCTTTGTGCCTTTTTCGGGTGTGCGCAGCTTCCACGTTACCGGCAACTGCTCCTGTCTCCCTTGCAAGCGCCGTCAGCATTTTTCCTCCCATCTGGGTGAGAGTACTCATTTATCTACTCATGTAAGTTTTCGAGCTGCTGGGTTGGCAGGAGCTGGGGAAGAAGCAGGAGCTTGCTCTGCTGCGCGGAGCTGGGCTCGAACCGCTGAAGTGTCGACCATTTCTGGCCAGCCACTTTCAGCATCATTAAGCCGCTGCGCCACTGCGTCCCCCCACATTAAAGGTTAGTTAGAAATAAATGCAATATAAATTAGCGCAGCACTGCCTTGAGCTATCAGAGGAAAGGTGGAATATAAATACAATGCAATGTAATAATATAATCGCACTATGACTGTACTGTAACATTTTACCTGCTACATAATGTTTGAATATTGCCCATGTTCAATCCTTTCCTTTAAT